ATGATCCTTCCAAGCAATCTTGGAGCTTCCTGTGGTGGTGTTTCACTGACACAGGAATACCCCTGCAAGAGCAAACTCTGGTCATTGGTGCCTGTAATTTTGTGAGAGTTTGTGCAGTGAGTACCAGCACTCCCCAGCTGAGGCACGCAGCAGGAGAGGAAAAATATTGTCCTTGGGCTGTCTGGGGCAAAGAGCTCTCTGGGACAAGTGTCAAAAGGAGCTCAGCAATGTGAAAACCAGCTGTGGCCTCTCCTGCCATGGGGGCCGGCAGCGAAGTCCTTGGCAGGCTGCGCAGGAAGCTCTCTGACATTTGTTATTTTCATTACCCTGCAGATGGGCGTTAATGAAGTCCCATCTCCCTTAATAACAAAAATTGCTGGCAGCACAGGGGCTGTGGATATGACCAAGGCTGGCCTAAGCTGTTTGCTGTGGGATGGCTGCAATAGGACAGCACACCTGTGGGTCCCACTGCATGGGACCCTTTCACAAGCTGAGACATCTCGAGGAGATGCCAGATTTATTTTTGTAGGGTCTCCCTTCTCTCCTCCTCCTCAGCATCACTCTGAGGAGTGTTTTTTGCCTGCCCTGTGATGTTTGCAGGTGACTTTCTCGCTGGCATCAGGGAATATCGGCCGGGCTTTTGAGATCCGTACCACCAACGACACCTACGGCGAGGTGTTTGTGGCACRGCCGCTGGACCGGGAGCTGCTGGACCGCTACACCCTCCGGGTCAGCCCCAAACCACCCCCCTCACCCACCCCTCGGGCTCCTGGTTTGAGCACCAAGGCTGTTTTCTCGGAGCTGTCAGCTTCAAAATAGCTTATTTTTTTGTCCCCTTGGAAATCCACCCCCACCCGCAGATCCAAGCGTCGGATGGCGGCGTTCCCCCGCGCAGGAAGGAGCACACCCTGCGAGTGAACGTGCTGGATGTCAATGACAACCCCCCTGTCATTGACAGCCCCTTCGGCTACAATGTGAGCGTCAGCGAGGTGAGCTCCCAGCTCCTCTCCTTCCATCCTGCCAGGGTGAGGGCTGGCCACAAGGCACGTGGGGACAGCAGAGCAAACATCACCTTGGSTCCTTTAAGCGTTTGTGTCCCCTTGCAAACCTCATCCTCGGTCACTCGGTGGTTGGTGTCACCTCACAAACCTCCTTTAAGGATCGGTGACACTTGTCCATGCTCACTTAGGCTGATTCAAGGGTTGGTGACCCCTTGAAAGCCCTCACCAGTGATTTACTCCTCGTTTTGGGCGAGGAGAAAGCTCTAGGAGCAGCTAAAGCCTGTGAGGCTGCAGGGAGCAGGCGGAAGGAGAAGTGGCTACACACCCGTGGAAATGCCACCAAAGTGACACAAGGGACGGCGCCGTGCAGAATAGGAATGGCTTTGAGGAAGCAGCTCAGCAAGGGCTAGATAATTAAGCAATAAAACATAATCAGGCATGAGAAAAGACAACTTATTTCCTGACAGTTTAATTCCTGGACCGAGGCAGGGGGGGATTCTCAATTTGGTGATGAAAAATGAAATATGAGTAATAGCCAGTGCCACTTAGCTGTGAGGAACTGCTGCTCATGATTTATAGCTTAACATTAAGGATATTGCCCTGTTAGGGCTTTCTTATCTATTTAATACATGTTCAGAGCAGGTTGAAGAAGAGAATTTCTGTTTTGATTTCCCCCATAATGGGACTATCCAAAAATAATTAGCTGAGCTCCAGGTCCATTACACGGCCTTCACCTCTGCACACACTCTCTGGGTTTTATGCTCTCCCAGGCTGTGCCAGGCTAGATAAGACCTAATGTGCAGCTTTCTGCTGAGCTGCTGGGTGTTGAGGCAGCGAGTCTGGAGCCTTGAGCACCTCAGTGTCCTCTCTATTACTAGAATTACGTTATTAATTAGGTGTTTTGTGTGTGCTGAGGCCGGTGGGGTTTATGTCCTGTCTCTGCCGCTCCCAGAACGTTGGCGGTGGCACAGCGGTGGCCCAGGTGCGCGCCACCGACCGCGACATCGGCCTCAACAGCGTCCTCTCCTACTACATCACCGGGGGCAACGAGGACCTGACCTTCCGCATGGACCGYGTCACCGGCGAGATCGCCACCCGGCCCTCCCCGCCGGACCGCGAGCGACAGAGCTTCTACAGCCTGCAGGTCACCGTGGAGGACGAGGGCAACCCCTCGCTGTCGGTGAGCGGCCACAACGGGCTTTTCAGGGGCAGGGTGGGGCTGGGCAGCGCCCTGGGAGTGAGCTTGGTGTGGAGTCGAGTGTGAAAGGGGAGCAGAGGCACAGGGGGTGATGTTTTGGTGGCTTGGGGTCCAGACTTGCTGTGCACAGGTTTGGTTCAGAGGCTCCTTGGATACCTGCAGGTTTTGTTTCCCATCTCCAAATGCCAAATTATGAGTATCCCTGTGGGGCAGAGTGCTGGYTGCTGCTGTCCTGCTCACAGGCTCTCCGGGTGCTCGCTCTGGAAGGGCTCCAGGTGTTTCCCACCCATCTCAGCACCGGGAGTGGGTGGAGCAGCACCAGCTCAACCACAATTCCATTCACCATGTGTGAATGAGGAGGGCTCTGGTGATTTTGACAAGGGGCTGGAGTGACAGGACAAGGGGCTGGAGTGACAGGACAAGGGGGAATGGCTCCACATTGAGAAGGGGTTGATGCAAGACACCACCAATCATCCTGTGGGGAGGTGAGTGTCCTGCTTGGTTCATTATTTGTGCCTCTGAGGGTGACTCTGGCATGGCAGAGTGAAAAGAGAAGCTCCCCCTTTGGGGCATTTTCCAGCTCCGAGTCCCTTCTAATCCTATCTCTGTGGACAGGTGAGTGAGCACCTTCGTGCACAGACAGTGACATGGGCTGACACCCTGTGTGACACTGCCATCCTTCCTGTCCCCCACCTCCATCTGCTATCTCGCACCATCTCTCTCCGTTCTGCCAGCAGCCTGCAAAGCCTGCATTTTGATGAAACGGGTCACAGCAAGCAGTGCAAAGCGTGGCTGTGATTCTCACTTCAGCCTTTGTGCTCTCAGCTCCTCCCTCCCAGTTTGTTCACACTCCAGCTTCTGCCTCACCACCTTTTCCAGGAGTTGTGGTGTCCCTGAGGCTTATACCTGGGTAATTCTCTTCCCACAAAGCAAGAGAAGCTCCCAGCACCTGATGCCACCAGTTCTTCTTGTCCCCATCCCTGCGGGAGCGTCACTAGTCCCAGCAAGCTGAGGAATGCCCGGTGCTGAGCTGGCAAATCCCATTGCCATGGYGATGCCCTCTCCCCGTGGTGGTGCCAGCAGGGACAAGTGGCACAGCTCATCACTCCACAGTGCCCAGGCACTGTCCCAGCAGCCCTGCCTGTCCCCACAGGCTCCACTGTGTGCCCACCGTGTCACGAGCACACGTCATGCCAGCAGYGCCTCTCTGAATCCCGGCCACACAAAGTGCCCAGTGACCCAATTCCTGAGCACAGGAAAGAGCTCTGGCCCTTTTCAGAGCTTGGGGACACTCAGGTCTTGTGAAAGGCCGTCCGGCGTGTCGCTGGGTGCCTGCTGGCCTCACGTCTGCGTGGGGAAATGATGTCTGTCAGGGCCTCCTGCCTGCCAGAAACTCCGCTTTCACAAGTGGGTCCAGGCTGGTGCAACAATGCACAAAAGGGGATGATTGTTTGTGGTTTGTACATCCAACCGTGGGCTTCGAGATTCGGGGTGGGAGAGACAGAGGAGACAGAGCTGAGAGAGTCCTCACTTGGACCTGGTGATTTGGGATGCCCAGGACAACAAAGGACCATGGAAGACTGGCCAAGAGGATTCTCTTGGGAGCTGGAAACGCGGGGACAAAAAGATAAAACGCTGATGATAACAGGAAAACATTTTCCCCAAAAGGCATTGCAGGAAAGAAAACCCTCACAAGCTGGTGARCTGCAGCTGGAAGGTGTGTGGGAATTGCAGGAGTCACCTGGGAAGCCATTTCTTCTCTCTCCTAGAAGTCTTTCGTTTTCCTTCTGGCAGGAAAACTGATGCCACAGCAGTGCCTCTGACATCTTAGCTCTGCCTGCAGCACTGGGCATTCCTGAAAAATGGGATTTTTGCTGCACAGAGAAAAAACCCATTTCCAACAAAGCTTCATTCTGTCGTCTAAAAGTGCATTCGTTAGGGAGCAGAGGGACTTGGAGAGGGTTTTGGAGCTGTTAAGACCCGCAGGCAGGCATACCCCTGACGTGTCTTTCCAGCTGGATGTGCTGGGACAGGGAGCAGGAAGTGCTGGAGGCAGCGGGAGAGATTTCAGCAAAGGTGGGAGGGGGCTGAGCTGTGGGTGGCCACAAAGCTCGAGTGGTGGAACACACATCCGTGGTGCACAGGGTGTGGGTGTTCCCTTCTCCTCCATCCCTGAGCCACCTGGGAGCTTCTCCTGCTGAAGCCAACGCCAGGTTAATGCAATCCTGCAGCAGCCCAGGGTGTCCCCAGCCCACTCCAGAGGCAAACGTGGTGTGGAAATTCGGGTGCTGCTGTGCCTGGGCATGCTGCCTGCTGCGGTACAGCTCAGCTCTGACACAGTTTTGCTATGACTGATGATGTCTGTGTTTGTCTTGTGGCGATTTCTTTACCCACTTTACAACAAAAAGAGAAACAAGAGAAAACAACAAACACGCTCTGAGTAACAGTGTCTACCACAAGGTTTGATATCATCGCCAGGGCTGAGTCACATTGGAGCTGTGGTTTCTTTTGGATAAGCGATGCCAGGTGCTGTGCTSAGCACCCACGTCCCTCAGGGCATCACAGTGTCCTCTCACAGTGGCCCCAGCACTGGCCACACTGGCCCCAGGAGGGTCAGAGGAAGCCATCCATCCGTAGCACTTCCCACCATGCCCCCTGTGCCTCCACTTCTCCATAGGAACTCTCAGCCACCTAACAGGAGCAAACTCCAACACCCTCCAGACAAACTTCCCAACTGACAGACATTTAAAAAAAAAAAAAAAAAAAAAAAAAAAAACCAAATGAAAACCATAAACATCCTTTTTTGCTTTTAATCAGCACTGATAATGAAACAAACAGAAAGAGAAATTGCCCTGATCCCAAGCCAAGGATAAAACTGCAGCAGAAATAAGGCTCATCCCWACATGTGTCCTGCTGAAAAGGTATCAGCATCACAAGTCCACGGCCATCGCAAAAGGCTGGTAGAGAAGGAGGGCTCTGGTGGCCACAGGGAGCCTCTCCCCTTCCTGTTTTTGCAAAGAAAAAGGTAGTACAAGGTTGGCCAGTGATCCTGTTTTGTTCCACGCTGAATCTTTACCATCCACTCCCAGAGAGGATGTTCAGTCGAGGATCCAGAAAAGCGTTGATGTTGCAGAGCTTAAACCCCAGCAATAAGTTAATCCTCAGGGAAGCCTGCAGGTGCAGGACAYCCTTCCATCCTCACATCCTCAATTTCCAGCCAGTCTGTAAAATGTGAGCAGTACAGAGCTGYACGCTTCCCCATGGAAACAGGTAGTTAAAAATTGAAATCTGAGCAAGAGAGGTTCACTTCCAGTCCCAGGGCAGGGGCAGGATGGGAGACAAGGGCAGGGATCCTGCACACWGCTTCATTCCTGAAGGCTTTGCTGCCCCTGGCCCTGCCATCCGTGGGGGGACCGGCTGGATGAGTGTGGAGTGGTCTGCACCATGTGGGTCCCTCTGGGGTCTTTAGGCTTTCAAGGAATTTGGTGAGTCGGGAACAGGATCTGGAAAAAGGCAGAGCAGGGATATCAGCCCAGCTTRCAGCTGAAGGGATATCACTTCAGGAAGTGGCCAAACTCTGCTTTTGCATGGAAAACAGAGGGTATAGGTGCTTCCCATCACCTGAGCCTCTTGTGTCCCATACAATGCAAAGTTTGCCGTTGGTATTTCACCCCCACCTTCCCCTTCTCTTCCCACCCCTCCTGCAGCCCCCACAGGGGCTCAGCAGTGCCAGTCACTCACCCAGGGTCGGGAAGAAGCAGTCCCCAGGCCCGGGGGGGGACAGGGGCGTGTTGGGCTCTGACAGCAGATGCCGGCCGGACTCGGAGGGCAGCCGGCTGGCCACGTAGGAGAGCTGGGGCTGSGGCCGTGGCTCCACACTCGCTGTTGGCACCGCCTCAAACACGGGGTTTTCAATGCCCTGGGCRCTGCTGCGGGACAGGAGAGGCGTTGGCATTTTTTATTTCAGGATAAAATTCCATTTTTGCATCACCAGGGGTCTGGCTGAGCATTGKGAACAGCCAGGCAGGGCAGGGAGCAGGTTCAGGTCGTGGCAGCTCAGCTGAGAGGAAACAGGGAGCCCAGTGCAGGGAGAGGTTTGGCCAAAGTGGCTTCAGGCTCTCCTGGGGTGTGGGGAGATGCCCTTGACACGGGCAAAAAGGAAAGAGGCACTTCCCACTTGGAGAGGGGGAAGAGAAACAGCGATTTCCCAGAAAGCAAAAGGACTCAGGGCGTGTGTGACACCAGCAGCCCTTTCACTCTGCCGTGTGAGGATATGTGCTGGCTTCATGGGGAAGGAGGAGAGGACATGACCCTTGCAGGGTGTGGGATGCAGGCAGAGAGGGCTGGGGGGAGCTGTGGGATTCCTTACCTGTCCATCCTGACAAGCTCGTGGGCTCCTGCCAAAGGCAAAACATTCGGGATGAGCGGGGGCAGCACAAGGGTCAGGCTCAGGCTCGGACCCACTGACAGTGCTTGTTCTGGTGTCTCATCCCCCTCTGCATTCCTGCCTCCCTCACCCATTTCTTTAGCCCTCTGCTTTGCTCCCAAACCTCTGCACCCCTGCCCTCTCCCACCTCGTTTTCCTCCCAGTCCAGCTTCCTCCCAGCCCTCTGCACCCCTGCCCTCTCCCACCTCGTTTTCCTCCCAGTTCAGATTCCTCCCAGCTTGAGGCTGCAGGCTCCCAAGAAGGGGAAGACACACTCGTGCAGGGTGAAGCGAGGTGCAGCTGCAGGGCTGCAGCCTGGCCCCGCTCATGCCCACCCTCCCAGGGCTCTGCAAACACCTCCTGGCACCYGGCTGCCCTCATTTGCCTGGGCAGCACCGTGCCATGTGTCCCCTATGTGTCCCCTCAGCCCTTTCCCACAGCCTGCGTTACCAGGCTCCGCCGGATTCCTGCCGGGCATTGCCCTGAGTTGGGGTGCTTGAGTTTTGGCCCAAACTCTGCCCAAGTGCTGTGTGGAAATAYTCAAAGCACCTGAGAAGCAACCCCTTCCTTGAATTTTGCTTTCCCTCTGGAGTGAAACAGCATCCAGGTGATGCTTTGCAGCAGGAGGTGGGAGCTGCAGCCCCTGTGGAAAGCGCAGTTCCTGTTCCTGGGGCTGGCACTGTGCCCGCTGCTGCTGCACAAAACACTTCTCCAAAGGCTCCCTGAGAGCCACACAGCCGCCCACAGGGCTGGGAGAGGGAAACCGCAGGGCCCTGCTTGCCCAAGGGCTGATGAAATGGCTCTGCCMGTTAAGGAGGTGCCCCTTTCCGCTCAATTATCGGAATCTCTGCGAGCCAGGCACGGGCAGGARCCTCAGCACAGCCTGCTACTCCAGGGCTCGCTGCAATCCTGTGGCCACAGACATGCCAGGGCTCTTTTTAAAGAGGAAAGGGAGAAAAAGGGCTAATAATGCTTTTTCAGTCCCTTAGAAGGCAAAGCTTCTATTTCAGGTGTGCGGTGGAGGGAGGGATGAGTAAATGAGATGGCTCTCACAGCAGATGAGCAGGTCAGTGGGGAGCATCTCTGCAGTTTCAGTGCCCCCAGCATGCTGCTGGTATCCCCTCCTACCCCACAGCCCTCATCAGCAGCCTCCAGGCACGCCTGGTSCTTCCCAGGAGAAACCTGGCAGGGACCTGTCCTTGGGCCACYTCACACCACGCCCGTGGGACCTGGAGCAGCCAAAGGCACTGATCCCAGTGGGGCACATCCCCTCCCCACAGCCCAGGAGGTGAGATGGGGTCCCAGCACTCACGTCTGCTGCTGACAGCCTGTCTCTGCTTGTAGATGAGGAGCAGGATGAGGGGCAGGCAGAGGATGCCCACGATGCAGGCGCCCGTGGCCAGCRCGGCTGCCGTGATATCTGCGACAGAGGAGGGCAAAGATGAACCCTCCCAGTCACCTTCCCTTTCCTGGGCTGCCCCAAGCCACAATCACAGGATTGTCTAGGATGGAACAGACCTTTAAAATCATCCAGTCCAGCACAGGGAAGCCCCTCACTGCCCCAGAGCTGACGTGGATGGCTCTCACACACAGGATTCCTACTGGGATGCTTTGCCAGCTCTGGAGATAAGCTCTGAGGCACTCCTTTAGAACATTGACCAAAGCCCTTCATTGCTGCAGGACATCCCAASGCCCTTGGTCTCCCAAGTATGAGGAGAGAAGCCCTGATAAAGGCTCCCAGMAACTCTGGAGTGCTGGCTCCCAACCCACTGCCAGACTCAAAGTGCTCAGGCAAAGGGGAAGGGCTCTTTACCCACGGCCTCTGCTAAGGAATGTGCCCCTGGGAAATGTCACCCACAGAGGCTCCCAGAAAGGCTGGCAGCCCGCAGGCACTTCTGTGSCCATCAAGGCCCCTGTGGGATGGCTCATGGTGAAGTTCAGTGCTGCCTAAATCAAGGGCAGGTTCAGCTCCTCTCCTGCACATCCGAGGAAGCAGCTTCTTGCTCCGTGTGTCTGTGTTTCAGGAGGGGACATTTTTTCTTTTTCCTGACAGGGCAGGGGGGTCCCAGCACTTGAGACTGCAAGTGAGGGACCGAAAGCACAGCTTATGGAGACCAGGAGCTGTTTCCCTTGTCTGGGCATGCTGCAAGAAAATTTCAGCCAAATCTGCCCATTTATCAGCCAGCAAAGTGGGGCAGAGAGAGTGACCCAGCAAGAAAGCAGCTGCACAGTGAAGTGTGGGCATCTCCACATCTAGACACAGCTCTGGGGGAGCCCCACATTGTCTGGGCACTCAGGCAAGATTTGGGTTTCCCCTGCTCAAGACAGGGGTGGCCCAGGATCAGGGTGCAGTGAGAGGTTCCTGCAACTCTTGACCTTTGTGTCCCTTCCCATCTGCTGGTGGCAGCGGCCACCAAATGTGGTTTAGGAGGGKGCTCAGGTGCTTTAGGACAGCAGGGTGGATGATCCCCATGGACTTTAGGACACTCATGTCCAGGTGATGGGGTAGAGAAGGCTCTCCTTGAACTGAGGATGTGCCTGTCAGACACTCTGTCAGAGCAACGTTGGAAACCAGCCCCCAACACCTGTCTGTGAGGCTGCATGTGGACACTGGGGTGCTTGCAGCCATCCCCAGGGAGTCCATGGGGCCAGGATGGCAAGCAGCACATGAGAAGGAGGGKTTTTTCCCTTTACCTTTGCTGGTGGCAGTATGAAATGTGCAGTTCTGAAGGCCTCCCTTGCCTGCAGAAGAGAACAGAAAAGCATGTTACCTCTCAGTGGATTCACTGGGCTCCCACAGAGTTCCCAKCCTGCTGGCTGTCCTTGCCTTTTCTCCCTGGCCCATCATCCCAGAGCACCCCCAAAGCTGGGATGCTTTTTGGAGTTTAATCCTAGGAAGTGCACACGGAGATCCCTGCTGCAGGGCCCATCCCTGGCCATGCAGCTTCTTTTATTCAGTCTAAAAGAAAAACTATCTAATGCTGCAAATCAAGGCCAGGAGACAYCTTCCCCTCCCTCGTGCCTCTGCCCCTGGGCTGCCATCCCAAGGTTATCTGCGAGCCCTCACTCGGGTTTGCACCACCAGCCAGCTCTTTTTTTTTTTTAAACTGAGGCTTCTTTTCCTCTCTGCCAGAAAAAGGTTGAGGAAGATCAGTGAAACTATGTACCATGGATTTTATTGCATTCCAACCTCTCGAGTTATACAGTGTTTTTTCTTTCTTCCTTTTTTTTTTTTTTTTTTTTTTTTTTTTTTTTTTTTGATGTTTCATTGCTGAAGTTTTAAAACTTCAGCATCTGCTGCTCTTTGGGAAGCACCCTACATCGGCACAAGCCGCTTCCCCAGCCCCAGGGCTGCATCCCCCAGCACTCCTCGGCCCTGGCACGGATGCAAGGATACCAGGGGCTCCCTGGTCCCCTCACCTCGCTGGATCTGCAGCTCCACGAAGCCGTGGGCCACCTGCGTGCTGTGGGGCTTGCCGTGCTCCCGCCGCACCTCCACGGCGTAGCAGCAATAATTGCCGCTGTCCTGCAGGGTCAGGTTGGTCACCACGATGTGGAAGGCGCCGTGCCGGTCGGGGACGAACTCCACGCCGCGGTGGTGGCCGCTCGGCCGCTTTTGGGAGGCGTTTCCCGGCAGCTCGTGGTGCCTGCCCAGGTCGTGGTGCAGCTCCTTGTCGGTGACRTTGCGGATGTGCCGCTTGTCGGAGCAGCTCCGGTCGCCGCTGCTGCTGAAGTACCAAGTTTTGTAGAGCAGGTCGTGGCGCTCGGCCAGGGCGCCGCTGATCCGGCAGCTCAGGGTGACGTTCTGGCCCTCAGGGCACACGCACAGCGAGTACGGGGTGCTGACCAGGAAAGCTGCCGCCCCTCCTGCCGGGGAGAAGGCACCGGGTCACACCTCGGCTTACCCTGAGCGAGCGGCAAAACCCCCCGAACMAGCGCAGCAAACCCACCACCGATGCTGGCACGGGTTGCCCAGAAAATCTGTGCCCGCCCCATCCCTGGGAAGGTTGGAGGCCAGCTCTAACAGCGCTCTGAGCAGCCTGGGATAGCACCCGTGGCAGAGTGTTGGAATGRGATGCTCTTTAAGGTCCCTTCCCACTTAAATCGTTCCAGGATTCCGTAGCACATCCGAGCAGGGCTGGGAGCACAGCTTCACCCTGAAATTCAATTCTGGAGGTTTAAAACAGCTGAGCACCAGCAGCAGGGAGGCAGCGGCTGGTCTGGGGCCGGCAGAGGTGTGGGGCAGAGCATGCGGAGGGTGGGAGGAGGAGCGAGGCAGCGGGGCTATGGCTCGTGAAGGAGGAAACGCGAGCGCTGCTGAGACAGTTGCCAAAAAAAAATAAATAAATAAATAAAAGGAGAAAAAACAAACACAAAAGTTCTAGGAGAAGCCAGTGTCCCGTCGCCCCACCGCCCTCCCAGATGCAGCAGGGAGCAGGTCCCACCCTGCTTGGCTTTCAGCCCCCAGGGAGGAGAGGGGAGAGCTGGCTGATGCTGACAGCGAGGAGCTGCTTGAAAAGGAAAACGATTTTCAGAAAGAAATTGTGGAATGTGGGCGGGAGGCCTGGCAGAAGCGGGAGCAAGGGGCACACCGCAGCATCGCTGGTCTTAACCCCGCACAGGGGTGGAGGGTCCTGGTGGGTGAGAGGAGGGAAAAGAGCAAAGGCACAACAGGTTTCAGTGTTTCACATTTGCAGAGGTATAAGCGTCACTTCAAAAGCAGAAAAAAAGCAGATTCTGGGTTTATTTACTTCAAATCACTGTGGAAAAAGAGGTTCYTGGGGCTGATTTTCAGCAGAGATGATAGGAGGAGGAGGACAAGGTTTCTTTTTTTTTTATTTTGGTAACATCCTGTTGTGCCATTAGCCTCACCGCCGTTTCGCTTTGAGGTTTCTCGCTTGCTATATCGAGAGGGTGTCAATGACAGGCAGGGCGTGATGTGCCTGCCCGCAAGCACTCAGCCAGGCCACAGGCTCCTGGCCACAGGGCCACACTGACAGTGTCCCCCTCCTGGGGGTGGAGTCACTGGGTCACCTCTGCTGGGGACAGCGAAACCAAAAATGCACCTTCCACCYCTCGTGGGCGTCTCTGGTTCGTGACGGCGCAAGAGCAGCTGTGAAGCCCTGCGTTCTTGCTCTGCGGGGAAAGGGAGGCTTTGGGAAGGACATCTGTCCCACTGTGCCAAGGAGTCCCCAGAGCGGGGCCAAAAGCTGTGACCTCTGCCCGACAGCTCGGGCTGATTGCTTCCTGCTCCCCCCAGCACAGTGAGCAGCACATCCCGGCGCTGCTCTGGGGCAGAGGTCTGTGCTGCCCGAGCTCAGCCCTGCCTCGTCCTTGGATGCTGCCGGGGCCAGGATGCACGGCCGGGCTGGAGGGGCTCTGGCAGGCGGCAGAGCGGGTTCCCCACCTCCTCGCCAGAGCACCGAGCACACAAAAGGCACCTCAGATGTGTTTGTCGATACCTGATGCAAGGGGAAGTGCCCCATTCACATCGGGGCTCTCCTGGGAGCCGGAGGAAGGGAAGCCAGGGCTCTATTGGAGGAAGCCGCACTTCCAACACCTTCCAAAAGTGTCTGCAGGAGTCTTTTGTTTTCCACCTTCCAAAAGTGTCTGCAGGAGTCTTTTGTTTTCCACGCACCCGGCCCGAATCAAGCGGGGCCGTGCCGCTCATCCCCCTGCAGCTCGCAGGGATCTCTGCCTTGCTGAACCATCCAGCCTCCACCTCCGGAGCCTGATGGGAACCGTCTGCGTGGAAAGTCAGCACAGCCCACGCTTTTGGGGAGGGGCAGGGGTTACCATGTGTGCAACCTTCGGCATTASAGGCTTCCCTTCCTTCTGCGGGGCGGGGGAAGGTTCTCACATCCATGGAGTGGAGGAGGAAGCAGCTGGCGAGGCACGCAACACCCCGGGCAGGGCCAGGGCAGTCGGTGTTCCATCCCCAAGATGTACCGAGGCTTCAAACTCGTGCTGGATGCCAGATGGAGGCCAGAGGAAACATCTCCTGGTGGTGTCTTTGTACTGAAGCCCACAGACCTTAATCTCCTGGGCTTCTTCCATGCCCAGAGCCCAGGCTTGGCTCCATCCACACTCCCATTGAACCATTCCCTTTGAAGTCAGAGCTGCTGGCAAATGCCAGAATAAAGCCAGATGCCCATCTCTGCATCTCCAGCTGGTTGGACCAGTTGAGGGCTGAGCTGAGAGCTGTTGTCKTGTCACCATCTGGTAAAGACAGAGGAGGTCTCAAAGCAGGTGCCAAAAGTGCCCCTTTTCCTCTTTGGCACCTCAGTAACCTCATCTCCAGCCAGTGGTGCTGCATCAGTGCAGAGGAGCCTGGTGCAGTGTCTGCYTTGACACCTGGGAACTCTGCTTTCAAACAAAACAGAAATGCAAAAAAGTGCAGAAACCTGTGCTGCTTCACTGACCAACAGCTTCAATAAATCAGGATCTCATACCAAAATCTGGGTCWGCGACCAAAAGCCCCTCCTGGCTGCTTCAGGCTTCACGAGTTTGGTCCCCAGCTCTGGCAAGCAGGTGTTTGATCTGCATTCCTGTGCCTGGCAGAAGTGATTTCCACATCAGGCTATCTCTTTCTGGTCTGGGGAGTTTTGCAGGGGATGGAGCCTTTGGAGGGGCTCACCTGCTGCAGAGAGGAAGGTGGAGCGAGGAGCCTGGCTTTTCTCCTCTTCTGGGAGCTCTGTAACAGGCTCACATCAAAGCCCCCTTTGTCACCATGCTGTCATTATGCTCCAGTTATCAGCCAGGTGAGATGACCAGGGGTGTCTGTACCTCTGCAGGAGCGCTTCAGGCAGGAAAGAAAGAGGAGAGAAAAAACCTGCTGAAGATGAACAGGACATGTTAACAGCCCTCATCTCCTGCACCCCAGGAGCCAAATGGGGCTCCAGCAGTGGGGRTGCCCATCATCCAKGCAGCSGAGGGAGCAGCTGGAGGATCCTGCCTTGCTCATCTTCGAGGGACAGTGCTTGGGATGTTTTGAAAAGCCCAGCTCAGCTGCCATCCTTTGGGTGAAGAGRAGCCACGTCCCCATCCACCTTGCTGCCAGCATCCCCAAGCTGGATGTCTCCAAGGGCTACTTCTCCATCAATCCCTGCTAAAATTAGCCAGGGGTTCTGAAAGTTTTGGCAGGGGCGGGATTGCGCAAAGCTCAGTTCCTCCAGCACCAGGCTCACGCTGAACACCAGCATCCAAGCTCATTGCATTGCAGAAGGCCTCAAGTTCAGCCCCAACGCCCCAGATACGTAAATGAAATAATTCAAATCCCTGTGGAGATGCTGGGAATTGCTCCCTGATGCCAAGACTCAGATAAGAAGCAAAACGTGGTTCAATCCACAGAAATCTTGCTGTCCCAGAGGAGAGGAGACCTCCAGCCCCGGTGCAGTGGGGCACCTTTGGGCATCTTTTCTTCCTGGACACACGCTGGCAGAAATCACAGAGAGCGTCACTTTGTCCCGGGAGAGAGGGTGAAGCCAAGGCCGCTGCTCATCCTCCGCCTGCGCGGGGCAGGGAGGGATCACGGCCCTTCCCAGCTTCCTTCTCTGACTCGCAGTCCAGAGGCGAGCTGCGCTTTTAATGCCACCGCCCATTTCGCTGCCTGGCCCCGGAGCCCCGAAGGGAAACGCTGCCTGCMAGGGCTGATGCGGGGTCAGGCATGAAGCAGCCCCCTTCCGAAGCAGCCCCCTTCCAAAGCATCCCCCTTCCAGCACTGGGAAGCGCTCATTCCGGGAAAGGGGAACTCGGCAGCCACTCAGGGCGGCCCCTGCCGCGGCTGGTTGCCCACCCGGAGGAGCTGCCCGGCACATCCCAGCAGAGCGCATCATCCTTAGAGAGGTCATCCCAGCCGCGCTCGCACAAATCCCCTCTCTGCGCTCCCCCAGGGCTGATGGAAGGGTYTTCTCGCCCTGGGAGCCCCGCAGTGCTGGGGAGAAGTGCCGTGCGGGAACGGAGCAGCTCTTCCAGCCCGGGGTCTCTAGCGGGAGGCTGGCGGGGGCGGCTGCTCGCCTTCCACGCATGTTAGATCAAAGCGGAGGAAGAAAGAAAAAAACAGTCTCAGAGTTTTAGAACAGCCGCTCCCCTGTGGCCCCTTTACTCCAGCACAACCAGCGCCCTGTGGGACGCTGGCTTGATCCCCCTCATGCCAAAATCTCAGGGCAGGAGAGCGAATAACCCTCCAAACACTCCAAAGTCCTYGTTCCGAGGCACAGCCCCGGGCTGGCGAACACGGTGCCCCGGCGAGGAGAGTTTCTCGGGGCAGGGAGGAGAGGAAAGCGAGCTGGAGCTTACCGTGGGACGCGAGCAGGCAGAGCGCAGCCAGGAGCAGCCCGGTTCGGGGGGACGCTGTCCCCATGGCGCCGGGGTGGCCGGGGAGAGGTGGCATCTGCGGAGCCACCGCACGCTCTGAGCAGCCCCGCAGCCACCGCCGGACTTGCACACACAGGAAATTTCATTGCGATGTCGCGCAGCGCTGGAGAGAGAGAACGGCGAGCACCCCCAGGAGGCGAGAGGCTGCAGGGATCGCTCCGGACCCCACCTCTCCGGGCAGCGGGTGCCTTTGCTGGGTGTCGTCCCTGACAGCCTCACCCAGAGCCAGCTGGTCCCCCACGTGCATTTTTGGGGCGCTAAGGAGGATGCTCGCCGTGCCAGGGGTCGTGCAGGTGCCGGTCTCCGTCCCTTTCCCAGCAGGAACTGATTCCCTTGTATTGTTTTATTTGCAATTATTGTTTTTCGCGTGTTTGTGAGGATTAAGGAGGCAGAGCCCCTCCTGGGATGAAGGGGAAGCAGATACAGGGGATGGGTAAATCAGAGCAGTGATGACTTGGAAAAGGTAATGCAGCTTTCACAAAAATATAGGGAGCAAATCATCCCCCTCCCACAGCCCGTTTGCACTCTGGCCTGGAATAGCAAAGCAGCCCCGTGGTCTGACACGTAACTCCTCCTGGAGCTTGTCTTCAAATTCCACAGGCATCAACAAGATCTCTGGCTGGAGCAGCTGAGAGCTGCCTCATTTCCAGTCAGYGTTCCCTGGAAAGTGGAGCCTGGAGACACATGGAGTTTCGCAAACCACAGGAAACTTTGCTGCTTGCCTGCTCCGAGTCCGGAGCGTGCGGGGAAATAGAAAAGTACCTAATTACCGTGTGGCATTGTGGTTTTTACAGCAAACACWGCTGTGATGCTCCTGCCAAAAATGTAACCCTTGGCTGTCTGCAAGAAATTTATTGCTGGGAGAAGG